ATAAATTGAGATATAAACTATCCTATCTTTCAAGTTGGATGAAATTGAACACAGTGTGCAAAATTTGATTAAAATCGGTTCTGTAGTTTAGGAGTCCATTGCGGACAAACAACGTGAAACAAACGGATTTTCAATATCACTGTATAGATGAGAATTCAGTTAGTCTTCTGTTAACTTTTTTATACAGTCAATGTTACATTTAACCGGTTTTTCTTAACCCACTGAAATGGGATAGTAAAAAGTGCATATTCGACATGTAATGCATTAAGAATTGAAACAAGGTAATTAGCACTAAAGTGGCAACTGAAAAAATATGCAGCTTATACAGTGCAGGACTGATAACTGATAGGGCAGTTCAGAAATTGGTTTGTCAAATTCCGTTTATGGAGATACGATCTTAAAAGATGAACCGAGTGCAACGACGTATTTCCGACTTTGATGAACCTTTTAAAGGTAATATTGAAAAGCAAAATCCAATAGATACGTTGAACAATTGCAAAGAGTGCAAAAAAAAACAAAAAACTCCATGAAAGGTGTCTTGCACTTATCAGTGCATTTGTCTCATTAAAAAACGGAAGTTATTTATGACTCGATCTTATATATATATATATATATATATATATCGTATTAAGTAATTGAAAATTGTGTATATGAAATAATCTAGAAGCCAATCAAGATCATTCCCAATAATATGATTACTGAGAGAATCCTTGCTTGTACAGTGACGTTTCAAATGCGTTGGCGTGGAACCAGAGACAACCAACTGAGACATGGCGTTTATATTGAAACAATAAATAGTGACAATTTTATCGATATCCTATAGCCTCTCTCTCTCTCTCTCTCTCTTTCTCTCTGTTTCTATTTCAAGTTTTAACTAAATCAAAGTAAAAGAAACGAACTTTTTACCATTGTTTTTCTTTATAGTTTTGATAGAATGTGTCACTGAGTTAAATTGTAAAAGAAAACAATATTACTTTATAATTAATAATTTAAGTAATATATATATGTATATATATATGTATGAATATGTGTTTAATAATGTCAATATATACTTTGCTTTTCTTATTTAGGTCTCTATTATGGAGTAAGCATTTGTCTGGTGTCGTTCGCGTCAGGATTAGCGGTATTGACTTTGAATTTACATCATCGTGGCACGAGAGTACCCGAAGTTGTGAGATCGTTAGTTCTACACAAGCTGGCAAGAATAGTGTTTCTTAATTTTCAAGAAGATAATAAGTCGGTAATGTGACTAATAAGTTTTTTTATTTAAATATAATAATAATAATAATAATAATACATTTTTACGTATATTTTTTTTTTACGTATTTATAATACATATGTATTTATATAACGTTAAAATATTTTTATCTTAAAAAAAAAAAAGAGAAAAAACAACTTCATTGGATTTATCAAAATCGTCACAATTGTATTAGGAATCTGCAGAATCATCATCAACGAGAAAGGTAAATAGTTGTCCATTACATTGTAAAAGTGATTTATCTCATCAACAAATGACGTCACCTAAGCACGTTAAAAGAAAGCAGGATAGTAACAGTAGCAGTCCTAATCTTGGTAAATTGTTTGATTTCTTTGAAAGTTTGTAATCTCTTTTTATTAGATATATATATATATATATCTATCTAATCGTATTATCGTGTTTAATGATTTTAGAATTTGGAAAGGATTCTAATCTGGAAATTCAATGGACTCGCATTTTGGCAAGAGTGCATGCGACTATTGAGAGAAACGAAAGGCGTTTAGCTGAACAAGATAAAAGAGAAAGAACGGAATTGGAATGGAAACAAATCGCTTTAGTTAGTGATCGTATATTATTAGGTATTTTCTTTCTAATGACTATCGTTAGTACAGCCGTTATTTTATACGGTTCGCCACCACCTACTACACAAAATACAAACTATGATTAATCTTAAAAAATGATTCTTGACATTCTATCAAAGTCAATTTTTTTTGTATAAAACGTCAAATTACGATTGCTCTCAATATTAATTACATTTAATCGTACTATGCAACGTATTAAAGTATTAGAATGATATACAGTAATTTAGAAAGCAAGAAAAAAAAAAAAAAGACTTTGAAACTTAAGCATTGTATTGTGACTCGATTGTGAATGTTTACTTTTTTTCATTTAAAACAATTAATTTTTTGCTATACTCCTTTTTACACTGTGAAATTTAATAATCATAAGTTTACTTGTTAAAGACAAATGTCATATTGTAAATATTATATAACAAATATTGTATACGAACATTTTATCTCAGCTGCATAAATTCAATCGATAAATTAAGTATAAGTAAGTAAGTAAATAAGTAAGTAAGTAATAATAAGATAGAATTTTTGTACTAATTTTATTTTATTTCAAAGTAATAATTTGCTTTAAGCAATATTTATTTTGTAATCTGAATCTTTATGAAAAATCTATAGGATATTGAAGTTAGACAATATTAAAGCCTAGAAATAAAGGTTCTTTTAAAAAGTATATTGTTATATAAAAATGTTACAAGTTATATAATAATAATAATAATAATAAATATCTTCAAATAGAATATATAAAAGATTAATAATTGAAATATTAATATTTAATAGTAGTCAGGTACCGGTGCACAGGCAATTTTTACAAAATCTTCATATTTGACATTACCGTTGATGGATACATTGGCTTCTCGAAAGATTTGTTCAACTTTGGTATAAAGAATATTAGCGCATGAAAATTGATGTAAGTGAATATTTTCTAAAAAAAACACAACATTTTTTTTCTTAACAAAAACTTACCTTCTTTATTACTTAATTTTTCTCCCCAGTGAAGAAGCATGTGAGCCAGTTGTCGTGCAGGTATTGTACCTGTATGTGCAGTATCTGCAGCTTGAAAAGCTTCTATTACTTCTTTTGGAAGATCTTCTGCTCTTGTTTGCAAATGCATAGCTTCTAGAAAATCAGCGAATGACATTTTTCCACCTAAGGTATATAAAAAGGAGATTTAATACTTTATCCCATAATTTAAACTAAACATGATAGCTGATTGATTAAAAAAATAATAATAATAATAATATAAGGAATAGGTAACCTTTATCTTTAAGATATTTATTTAATTCTGCAATTGTTGGACTGAGGCCTAATGATCTCATAATGATGGTCAATTCATCTAAGGTACGAATATGACCATTGCGAGCAAATAAATAAAAACATTCTCTGAATTCTGTAATTAGACAAGTCAGGATTGTTAAATAAACATTTATGTAAAGATATTAAATAAAATATATAAATAATGTATATATAAATAGCATATTTTTAACATATAATAAATAATGTCAAAATATCAAATACAAAGAACCATACCATCAATATCTTCCTCTCGAAAATAACGAGCCTAAAATTAAAGATATTAGAAATATATATATATATATTTACATTTTATTATTTACAGTATTAAATTAATATTTTGTAATTACCATGGTAAACTTTCTTTTTTATTAACACTGATTTCTACAGACACCTGTCAACAATGTCTGACGTCAATGAGTTTGACATAAGAATCTAATCTAACCTTAAAATTTCGGATAATGTATTGATTCTATTATAATGATATATATTTCTTATTTTAATAATATAAGGATAAATTGAATAAAATTATCTTTCAATTTTGCGTAAAAAATATTTATTATATATGATGGTAAAATTTGTAACATTGATATAACATAATATAAATTCCATTAGGTTGTAGCCAATGAAAAGAGAGAATATTTTTCAATTGACCAATGAACGGCCTCCAAAATAACGATTCCTCTTTTCGCATCGATGAAGGAATAAACAAATAGTTTCAATCAAGGTTTCAACAGTGTTGGTAGTAAGAATTACATTTTATTTGTTTATCTACAATATATCACTAATTTGTATTAATTTCAATTTGTTCATGATTTTTTCCGTAGATTTCACTTTTTTTTATTTTATTTTATTTCTATTCACCATAAATCATATATCGAATTTAATATTTTGATCACACATTTAAATTAATGACTACAATAATAATATGTATATCAAAAATCAAAATCACACGATAAATACACACAAATACGTTATTGAAAAACTATTAAAATATTTTTTGTGCATCACAATAATATTGACAATGTTCTATTTGTTTTTAGACGAGAATATTTTTCAAATAATAAAAACGTAACATGGAGATATTCACCAAGCACAGTACGGATAATCGAAGAAAGTTTAACGTATCGAACTTCCGAAGGAATGGCGTTGGAAAGGCATACGATCGAATACTAGTAAATAAGAGGAAGAAAAAAAAAAGGTAAGGCATATAGACAGAAAGAAAATGAAGCAACCCTCTTGGTAGGAATTTCGTTCTTGTAGAAGGAGGAGGAGGAGGAAGAGGAAGAGAAGAAAGAGAGTAAACTTAACTTGCGAGGGGTAGTGGTCAAAGAGAACGTTGAGTAGCTGACAAAGAGGATGACCAAAGGGAGAAAGAAAGAGATAAAAGGATAAAAAGAGGTAGGGGTTGAAATAGAAGAGGAAGGCTCGTTAAAGACAGGAGGGTCGAATAAGCTCGTCTGAGGGGTGGCGACATCAGAGTGGGGTGGTCGGTTGGTGAGGTATGGTGAGGGAAGACGGATGAAGCGCAGTACCGGTGCGTGCGGTGAAGAGACATCGTTAGGAGTGGGGGGAGAGAGTGCACAGCTGGGTCGAAGGCAGTGAGTGGTGGGGGAAGTCGTTGTCCTCGGTATCTTCACGCGAGTCACGAGCGGCTTGTCAGTTCGACGCGGAACGCGTTCCTATTCGTATCCTTGTGTTTTTGATCTTTCTTTCTCCCTATTTATTTTACCGTCTCTTTCTCTCTCTTTCTCTCTCTCTCTTTCTCTCGTTCATTGCACGTCGTTCTCGGTCTCGCTCGTACTCACTCATATTCACCCTCTATACACACACACACATACAACACCTTAGATATATCGCTCAGTCTATCTCTCTTTCTCCAGTTCCCCGGTTTCTTTATTTCTCTCCTCGTTTTCACGAGGGAGAGAGCCATCATCACACACGCATTCGGAGGGCCGCTCCTGTGACACGTAATGGTGCGCGCGATTCATATCTGAGCGAACGCAATGTAACGCGAGGAACGCTCCGCCCTATGAACGAGTTGAGAGAGTCCAGTATCAAGAAGGAAGGAAAGGACGCTTGTGGTGGCAGCAATTCTGCTTTCGTTCTCCGAAGTTGTTGCCGTCGGTGCTATTGCTGTTACTACTGCTGCTGCTGCTGCTGCTGCACCTTGGTAAGTGTACGATAGTAAAAGAAAGAGAGAGAGAGAGAGAGAGAGAAACGCAAGAATCAGCAAGCACGCGCGATACATGTTTCGTGTAACTACATAAGTAATACCTTGTATTATATACCTATACATATATGTACATGCGTGTCCGGTTCCCTTTTTCTTCTTACCTTTCTCCTTCTTCTTCTTCTTCTTCTTATTCTCATCTTCTTGTCTTTCTTACTTTAAACACATCCTTTCTGTCTATCCCATCATCTCATCCCCTTTTATTCGCGTCTCTTTCGCGCGCAGTCTCCATCATTTTTCCTCACTCTATTATACCCAGACCTTCAAAATCTCGTGTCGTTTAAACGTTTCCCTCGTTTATTCGTTTTCCCACCCTCCCTCCTTCCCCCCTCCCTCTGCCTCTTATGGGTTTTCTCTCGAGTTATTTTGCAACATTTATTCGCGTATTTCATTGCAATATCATAAAAAAAAAAAAAAAAAATAGCAAAAAACATTTCATATCGTTGCTATGTATTCTATATACATACTTTGGTCTTTTTGTTAATCCGATTGAATATCATGTAGACAATTTTATATATATATATATATGTATGTATGTATGTATGTTTCTATGTATATATTTGTATGCAGGACAAATGTGTAAATGCATACGTTTAAGAAGATTCAAATGTAAGGTTGGCCCTTTAAACGAAAGTACTTAACACAGTTTTGAATGAGTTTTATTTTTTTTTTTTTTTTACTGGTAACTTTGCATCTCTATACTACGGTCATTATCGGTGACTTTAATGCCGACTCTCGTTACCTAACTCCGCAACGATTCTCTTCTTACATTCATGAATTACTTTTGTTTCCCAGTAAGCTTTCACCTATTCCGTTTACCGATATCGCGACACGCTGAGAGACACGTTGAGACACGTTCGAGATATATTATTCTCGATCAATTCCCGATTTTGTTGAAATTCTTACATGAAGAAAACAGTTTCATCTATAATATTACACAGGACATATATTTTGTATTATTTATATTGTGTATCGTACGTAGGATAAATGTTTAAACATTTTGTTACTTTTTTTTTATTTACGTATTTTTAAATTCTTAATGTTTCACATATATTTTTATGACAATTTAATTTGTTGTTGTTGTTTTTTTTTTTCAGTTTCCTTTTCTTTGATCGCGTCTACGAAATTACATTTCGCAAGAGAAAAGAGAGATAAAGAAAATGTGTGTATGTCTCCTCTGTGTATGTATATATGTATATATGTGTGTGTATATAGTACAAGACTTTAGAAATAGGAGAATACCTTTAATATGCATCTTTTGCAACTAGCGAAAGCGATTACGTACTTTAATAATAATAATAATAATAATAATAATAATAAGAATAAGAATATTAAGTTATAAATCGAAAATGTTTATCGTGTAATGGAAAATTGTTCGCAATTCGTTAAATTATTTCACGTTCAATATTTGTCATATTTTTTGTTTTTTTTTTTTTGTTTTAACGGTCTAATGAGTTTTTCCCTCTTTGTCTCGCATCTTTCTCTTTCTCATCATTTTGTCCAAACGAGGTACCTCTGGAATAAAAAATTGCCGACTTTATAAATACCGTCCTACCATAATTGGATCGTTAGTGCACCGATTTTTGGATTTATTTTAAATTCATGTGCCGCATTTTTATCTGCCGAGATTATAGCAAGAGAAAGAAAGAAAGAAAGAGAGAGAGAGAGAGAGAGAGAGAGAGAGAGAGAGAGAGAGAGAGCATCACTACAACACCACCATTGTACATGATTAGTTTATATATAAAAAACAAAAATATTATTTTTATCATTTTTGTTAGTTCTTTTTATCCTACGATTTTCATTCCATAACAATTTTTCATATACGCATATACATACCTTGTATCTTTACATTTGCAATCCCTTATCCAATTATTATTATTATTATTTTTATTATTATTATTGTTAACGTAAACTTGCAGTACATAATACGCACGTATACTAATATATATTATATTAATTATATTATATATTATATTAATTATATATTATAATTGTATTAATTATATTATATATTATATTAATTATATATTATAATTATATTAATTATATTATATATAATATATAATATATATAATATAATTTATTATTATTATTCATTTCTTTATTCGTTTATATTTATTTATTTATTTTATGTTACTCTCTTTCATTTCATCGTGATCATAAATTTACCAATGTAAACAATGCTATATTATATTCGTTAGAATATTTTTCGTAGTAGTAATTTCGTATAACATTTAAACAAATTTATATTCCAAGTAATATTACTCGTTTTATATTTTTAATATTTAGAGGATATTTAATTATATATTTTCCTTTTTTTTTTTTTGTAATTTTAATTCTACCTGAATTTCTTTCTCTCTCTCTCCTTTCTCTCTAACACGATTTATCTTCGTTAGTATTTAACTTTTATATGAAATAGTTTTGTTATTTATCTTTTTTTTTTATTAATTTTCTTTTCTTCTTCATCTTCTTCTTCTTCTTTTTTAAGAAACATAGTATTTATTCATTATGTTTATTTAATTATTTTAATTTTAAACAAAAGTAACAAGCACGTGAGAAAATTAGTTTAAATATTAAGGATACTGAAAAGTAATGGCGTCGTTACTACGCATGTCAAATTATTTCTAATATTTTAAATCAAAAAAAAAAAAAAAACAAACAAACAAAAGAAACGATATTGATAATTCTTATCGTTACGATATTAAACAAATTTTCCATACCAAATAGAAAAATGTTGATTAATTAATTGATTTAATTATATTTATATTATTGATTAATAATAATAAAAAAAATATTGTTTAAATTTTGAGGTTAAAAAGCGCGACATTATTTTTCTGATTCCATCGAAATATTTATAATCGACTGTCATATTTTGATAATGAATGAACAAAGTTAGATAAATAATACATCGTTCAGTAGATTATTCGGTTCTTTTTTTTTTTTGGTCAATTTAGTGAATGAACCAGAATCACGAAATAGAAAAAGAGAGAGAGAGAGAGAGAGAGAGAGAGAAAAAGGAAGAGAGAAAGAGACTATATTCTCTTTACTATCGAAGTGCTTTACTTCGTGAACGACGTGATTTATCCTTCTTCCTGCTTCCCTTTCGAAAAATTATGTCTCCCGTAGATTATTTGCGATGTGGAGCAGCGGGATAGAGCAAGTTCTCTTCCTGCAAGTGCATTCTCCCTCTTGAATTATGGCATTATCAAATAGAGAAAGAGCGGGAAGGTGGTCCATTTTTATATCGTTTTAGGTTTTTTCTTTTTTTTTTTTTTTTACGGATATTCGATATGAATGTTTTTCTTTTTAATTTTTCATAATTTTCCATTAATATTATTTTATTTAAAATAATATAAATTATATTATTATTATTATTATATATTACATTATATATTATTTAAAGTTAACCAATTAAGTGCGTTCGACGTGTATAGGCACCGTGCGAAGTCATGGTAGGGGAAACCGAAATGGACACTAGCGCACGCAGTGGATAACTTTGGCAGTAAAAGACGGTGTTATTTATTTTCGTGTTCACAAAACATACGTGTGACCATTAATTTTATGATATTTTTTAATAAAATATAATCAAATAAAATTTGATCTGCGTTCGACGTGTATACACGTCAGTTGTTTGTAGGTATCCTATAGGAGGGATGCTCCATGTACATTGCTGGGGGACCGGAACTCGATTTTAACGCGCGAATGATTCAAACATTGAAATCATTCAGAAATAATGAATTGCATCAAATACAGAAACAAAAAATGAACTATATATTTAACGATAATAAAAAATTTCTATTAAAATAAAATAGGTTAGACGAAAAAATGATTATAAATTCAAGCGGTCCTCCAAAATTTTCAGCCAATGGCACATGAGCTGAATATGAATGGCGCATCCCTCCTATAGGATCCCTAGTTGTTTGTTTTTCATTCCGCACCCTATGGTGATCTTTTCAAACTAAATTTCACACAATCAACTGGTTAAAACAGTAAAAAAAAAAAAGAGGGAAAATGTATAGAAAGAGAAGAATAGGAATAACTTATTCTCAAAGATGTAGACATTATCCATATACGATCAAGCAAGTAAGCAAGATAAGTTTGTTTTTACATGAGAAAATATATACGATAGTTGTATTTTATTCTCGATCATTCTTCTGATCAGAAAAATCACATGGTGAGAGATGATACACTCGGGATTCCCAAAGATTTGTAAATAGTTTGTGAGTTGTAGCATTGAGATATATACATTAAAGAAATATTGCGGTAAACGAGACACGTTACTTGCTTGAATAATATCCGATTAAAGTTGGACAAGAACAATGACGTTATTCAATTGGAATTTCTAAGATCTCAATTAAAGACGGAAGAACATGAGAGAGAGAGAGAGTGTGTGGGGGGGGGGATAAAAGAAAAAAAGGAAGAAAAAAAAAATAAATAAATACCGACACGGCGTCGTTGTTCGCTCGATTGCACCATGTTGCAAAATATATTATAAAAAAAACAAAAGATAGAAATAGAGAGAAAGATTAATTTCTCACCTGTACAGAATTACAAAGTTAGGTATAGTCATTTATTACCAATGACTTCCTTTCGATTAATCCTTTCTTGGTATATCAACTGATTTTTTTTTTTTTTGCTTCTTTCACGTCATTCGTCTTGTCTCGGTTTCTTTTTTTTCTTTTTTTTTTTTTCTTTTTTACCTTAGGCATCGATAATTATTTTTTTTTTTCTCACGATAGTGGTTTCCTCATGCACATGTTATTACGAATGAACGAAACCATCATCACAATAGAAAATTAATGTAGAAATCGGATAAGTCGTGTGGTTATGCATTAATTATATCTATTGTTCTTATGGAAACGGTAAAGGATTTATTCTCATTTTAATTATGTGAGAAACGACAGAAAAGCTTGTCAAATATATTCTATAATGTAGCATTTTAAGCAGCATCATGACTTATGAAAAATATTATTTATCATTTATCTTTTCTGTTATGTATTTCTATAATATTATATATCTTATATTATATAATTTAATCTTTTTTTTGTTTATCAATTATATATTATATAATATATATATATATATAATATATTTTTTTAATA